ACTATCTCTACAAAGAGTTATTTTGAAAAATATAAAATCTTAGAAATGGGAAACACTGGATACACTATTTCATTGTAGAAGAAATTCCTGAAAACTATTTTCAATTATTTTGTTTCATTTTAATTACTTAATTTTAACACTTATCAATTCTGGATTGTGTGTACTTCACATGAAACAGGGAAGAAATGAAATGCCATAGTTAGGATAGTAGTAAAAGAGAAAAGATATATACCGTGGAAGCTTTAATGGAAGGGATGTTTCTGCTTTGTTTCCTAGCAGAGTCACAGGGGCAAGAAGAGAGAAATAATGTGGAATAGTCTTTCTGAGGAGACTTTTTATTTGCTGCTTTTAAATATTTACGTATTTTACAGACTAGGAGCCCAGTTTTGACCTTGACAGCCTTCCTAAGGCACTAATTACCAGTGTACTGAGTTGAGGCTGAAGCCATAGCTGAAAGATGCCCTTACAGGGAGATATTTTTGCTTTACAGCTTCTAAAAAACAGTAATCATCACTATTTCATAGGTATATCATAAAGAGCAAAAACAAGTATCTTCAATGTCCCTATAATAAGCTCATGCCAGAAGCATGGATCCTTGCCAGCAAAATGAGAGGCTCTTTTCATCTGGTGCCCTTTGGGTGCAGGAGGTGGCATCAGGGTTTGGAAAAGCCAGGTGAAAACCACGCTGTGTGAAACAGTGGTATGCTGGGGCCATATCATATTGGCTTGTGAGAACTGACTGAATTTTTATTAATTTGCAAGCCAGTTGATAATACATTGCTTGAAACAGGCCATGGTGGAAGCATTCATATTTATATCATGGACACTGAGAGCTAGTTTGCCAACATGCCATTGTGTGGAAAACAGTAGTACTTAGAAGAGACTCCTGGTTCTGCAATTTACTATATGTAACCTCAGGAAAAGTTACTTCACTTCTCCAGATCAATTTTTTCAACTGCTCTAACTATTGCATCTCATGTGAGGAACTAAAGATGAAAGTACTAAGCAAACAGAGTGACAAGCAAGTATTAAGTACCCTATCAATGCTAGTTGTAATCTGTCACACACTGATGGTTCACGTGACTTTGTCCTTAAATTTCAAAGCAATTTTAATGGAATAACAGAGTAAGGATCCTTAAAAAAAAGGCAGTGTCAGCAATTTCATAATAATACACGTATATGGAGAACAAATACGCTTTTTTTGTTCACTCTTCCCCATCTACCCTCAATGCAAAATTTCTAACTTAGCATACACTTAATTTACCTGACGTTCTGTACAAATATCATACAACTAAAAAGTATTAGAGAAGTATTATGATGCCAAAGAACCCCATGCTTATGGTAAATATTAACCCTATTGTATAAATGTAGGGCCCAGGTTCAATTTGTTAACAGTCCCCCCTGGAACTGTGTAACACAATGGCTATAGAAACCAGACCTTAGAACTGATCAGGAATCTCAAACTGACAGCGAATACAACAGCCCAAACAGATATTTTGAGTACTGAATTTTTTCTTCTTCTTTTCTAAAATCTCAATGTAAATAAATGCCTTTAAGAGATCAACTTAAGCCCCCCCCCCCCATTTCTTACATCCAGTAAAGTCTGAAGGAAACCAGAAGCAAGCTTCCAAGAGTCCTCTCTGAATGAAGTCAAAAAGGATGCAATTAATTTCTCCAGCAACTGAGTTCTAAGAATGTGTAAAGAGTGGTCTACCAAGGAAATCTGTTACAGATCAGTACCCAAGGTTTTTACTGGGGGCTGGTACATAAGTACCCCTACGCCTAGCATGTTCCAAAATTCCAGACTCCCAAAAGGAAAAGAGGTGTTAATATAAATAAACAGTTTGCACAGTTTAGGCACAGCAAGCTACTCTTATCATTTAGGGAAAGTTTTATTTCAGTGTAGGAAACTGTTTACCAGTTAAGTTCCCAGACACCAGGCCAAGGTTAATCTTGCAAGCAGACTTCCTAAAGTCAGCAGTCTTGGGCCTGCTCTGTCAGCTCCTTTTGCACACCCACCTTTAACTTTTCTTCCCTATCAGCCAGAGGGTAGCCTTGTCCCAAGGTCTTTACCCAACACCCCAAAGCCTTCCTTCTCTCACACAAAAGCTCCCCATTTACCAACTGCTAATTATCTCCACTGCTCCAGTTTTATTAACACATAAGAAAATAATTCAACTTTTATCTTACCTAGCCAAACAAAAGTTAACTTATTTTCCCAATGTTATTAAATACCACTCTACCAATCAGAACTTCTAGATAGCATGAGGTCGCCTGGATCTACACTAAGATATGATTTCAGCCGGAGGTAGAAAACAAATCACTTAAGCTGTCCATTGGCTTTATCATGTAAATATATAATTTCCATTTGACTGCTGGAAATACTGAAAATAGTTCAAGGACTCTTATTACCACCCTGAAGACTCTTCTCATCTCTCACTATCAATCTTATTCAACAAAGTACAGAATGCAAAGCCAAATGGATTTGGCATCTAGGTTTCCCAGGGGTAGTCAGCCCTCAGGAAGTAGGACAGAAAGTGTACTGGCTATCAGTTTTACTGCACAAGGGTGCCACTAAGGATCCACTTCTGACCCACCGGTGAGGATGCACCTGACCCTTAAAAGCTTTCAGCATTCTCTCATCCCAGATCCCTTCAGCCCCCAGGAAGCACTGGACTCTTTCCTGCAAAGGTCCAGAGCCACAGAAAACAGATATTCTCAGTTTCTGTCAAGCTTAAACACACTCAAGGGTTGGGGAGCTGAGGGCCACCATGGCTGTCAGCAAGGGGCTAGCGGGAAGTTATATTCAAACATTCTATTCAAGTCCTGGAGTGATATTCAAGTCCTATAGCCCATGCTAGATCCCATGAACCACCTCAAGGACCTGACTCTCTCCTGGGGAACCTAATGCCTAGACCACAAAATCCTGAATCCTGGAACTCCTTGACATTGATGGGACCATCAATTGGGAATGACCAGAGCTTGACCATAGCTTTGGTTCTACTCTGATAGACTTATCTGTACATGGAAAATTTTGCATTGTTCTGCCAATCTGTGAATTTTGGAGGATCATGCTCACTCTCCAACGACAGTGTAGATTGCCTGCCACAGAAGGATTCAGATCTTGACAGTAGGAAGATGATCTCCTAGAGAATGACAAGGCCTTCAGGGTGGAGGCCAGAGACCAATGGGCAACTTAGCTATCCCGGCCTCTTTGTGCAGCATGTTTCTGAATTATGCTAGCTCTGAAGCTGTGCTTTTGCTTCACAGCTGGGGAGGGGAAGGATGTTATGGCATCATGTCACAATTCACTCAGATGCTGAATAGGAACTTAAGCATATTTTATAGAGGGCCTATTCTAATGAGTCCCTTTTGTTTGATTAAAGTGGTTTAAATAGTATACTAGGCATCGTTGGGAGCATTCTCCCAAATGGCGGCATCTGAAGCACAGCCAGCTAGGACTGCTGGTGCTACATTATATACTCAAGCAACCTAACTATACATTTATCGCCTCAAACTGGAATTGAGTTAAAATAGATTGTAAAGTCACAGGTCAAGCAGTGTCAATTCTCAGTCTGTGGAGCTGCTGATGCTTCCTAATTGTCTTCCAGGGAAATGAGAGAACATTTACTTTGATCCAATGGTGGGAAATGTCCTTCCCAACGGGCAGGGGTAAGGACAGGATACCAAATTAAAGAATACTGGTAAGTAAATCTCAGCCATCTCTTTTAGCACTAATGGGTGGAAAAGCAAATAGCATTTTTATAATTATCATAAATTTTAAATGAGTGAAAGCCCTATTCAATCAATTGCAATTTCAAAAAAAAAAAAAAATCAGAAAATGACTGCCAAAATAGGAATGAAAACAATAGCTGACCTTTTTATTACTGTTTAGCACAACCTCACCACATTTAAATAAAAAGTGAATACCCATTAAAAATCCAGAGAAGCAGATGAAAAGGTTTCTTCTAACAAAGGAAAATAAATAGGAAGACCAAAATTATTGTAATCCTAAAATAAGCTTTACATAATGGCTTCAAAAGACTGGTCAGATTTTATGTCATTTATAACAACAAAAAATCTGCTGGCCACAATTCCAAGGAACTGTATTGTGGAAAAATGCTAAAATACGGCACACACCACAGGCAAATGGAACCATGCAGTTTTACCTAGCCTACAAACAGATTTTCAATCACTTACAAAGCCAAGTTGAACTTCATGTATTATAAAAATGTGTAGAAAGTTAACTGAACAAAATGTAGTCTACCTATATGATCTCAACATTACACCCTTCAGCCAATTTCCCCACAATAATTTAAATGGATTTCAAAGTTTATTAAGCCTTGTAATACACAAAACTATGTGCTAAGTGTCTACATTGAGCAGTTTGGAAAGTGTTGTTCATAGCATTTACATCATGATTTGCTAACCTTGGAAATAATTTTTAAAACTCCATTATCTTCTTCTTTAAATGAGTGCTGAAATATTTATTTGATGATGATAAATAATTTCAGTAAAGCATTAAAAAGTTCATGGGCAAGTATCAAACCTAGCTCCCCAAAATGCCTATGGAGGCTAAGTAAGGTGGAAATGTAATACAACAGGGGAACCAATGTATGATCCACCTGGGGCATACTCAAATAGAAAACACAAACACAGTGTGAGCTACGCAACACTCATCTGTGGGTTGGCTAATGGGCTACAAGTATGTAACTCCCAAATGAAAGTCTGGAACCAGAATCTGAAGCTTTTTCCAAATATAGATGCTTCTTATCACAAAGTCTAACAGATTCTTCATAGATTCTGACTAGTGCAAAATACTTTACATACAGACTATGGCACTCACCTGGAGATTTCTTGTCACATATTTACGTGTCCTGGACGGGAGTTAACATATAAATAACTGAAATATTTTTTAAAGTCTTTTTCTTTTTATAAGATTGCAAGTAATTGCTTTAGTTACATAAAAATGAAATGCCACTACTGTAGTAGTGTTTTACCTGTTTAAGAAATCTGTCAGATGCATTGCTGTGTTTGGCTAACACACTTGGCAGAGATGGGTTTGCATATTCAAACTGAGGATTGTAGGTATAGTCAGATTTGAAGAATCTCAGTTTCTCTTTCTCCAGGTTGGTGGGCTTTATAGCAGTCAGTATACAAAATTTCTTCCCAGAAAAGTCATCTCCTTTTTCAAAACTTCTAGACAACTGAGGCTGCAGCTTTGGCTTTGGCAGAGCAGAGAAATGGCGTCGCTTTACCTTGTTTTTGGGTTTAGGTGGCAGTACTATGCTGTTCCCTGTAACAGAGATATCATGTGTAAACTTTATGGGACTCGACACTGAACTAGTGACAAAAACACCAGGCTGCCTTTCTAGGCAGTACCAAGTACCACTGCTCATCACAGGCACTGGGACTTTCATCTTGTGAAGATCTTTACTACGAGAAGAACTAGGAGATTTGCTGGGTTTTCTACATCTTTTGGAGTAGGTGGAAGAAGACTGTTTTTGTGAATAATGCTTTTTCTCCTCTTTGCTCTGTAGTAGGACATTGTAACTACTGGTTCCAGTTGTGAAAATGTCCTTTAGTATCCCAGAAGATAAATGTGAAATGCTTCTTTTGCTGTCAATGATCAATGACTCTTCTGCATTTAGAACAGACTTCTTCGCAAGTTCTTGCTCAGGCCAGTGAAGCTTTTCTGTGTTAATAAACAAAATCAAAACAAAAGAAATAACAAAGATACCAGATGAAGCAAATTGCTTATTATACAAAAAGTATTCTGAAGGTTCTGTAAACTTTATAATTTTGCAACAATCTTTAGAAAAGACATTTTAAATATTAAAAAATATGTTACTAAACTTTGGTCATGCTAGACAGTGCCACTTCTATACAAGCATATATATGCTAAATTATAAAAATTATCAGCTTCAAACTATTTAGATGATCAAAGTTTAATATCAGTGTGAGGTAATACACATAATCTGAATAGTCAACTCTACCAAAGAATATGATTTCACAGAAAAGATATAATTTTCAATAGTATCACCAATATCAAAGTAAAATCCAAGGCATTTTCAAAGCCAACACAATCTTGAAATTGGATGCTATAAATAAAGATAGCCATCAGCAAAAGGAGGACACTGCCTTATTTATCTCAAAAATCATTTTTTAAAATTAAATAGATGATATGTGTATGTTAAAGCATGTTTTAGTAATGTCACTCAATTGGTTGATTTTCTTAATTCTAGGCTACAGGTTAATATGAAAGAAAATTAAGATTTTTTTCTCGCCAAGTCTGAAAAAAATTGTAATTACTATTACATAGACATTAGAATATCATATGGTAAATGAAGGAGAGGTCAGCTTTGCCTTTAGATTTCACAAGGGCTTTAAAGAGGTACAAATCACTTGATATACTGATGTTCATGCACTGCTTTAAATCTGTGTTGACTTGCATTCTTTCATTCCACAAACATATGGAATACTACTAACTAGATACATGGCTACGAGAAACATCTTTATAAATCCATTGTTCCTGCCTTCAACCAGCTTCTAATCTGGTTCTGAAGGCAAATCTGAAGATTTGAATAATAATACATGGTAGTGTAAGTTTAAATGTGAAAACCAGAAAATACAGACAATAACCTAGAAATCAGAGCAGGAAGAAAGCAATGTGAAGAAAACAGATGAGGCTGCGCCTAGACCTTAAAGAACTTTCATATTTAATTCTAAACCAACAAAGTAAGTTTGTCTTAAATCCTACTTACCAAAACTAGATTCCAGGCCAACTCCTATCTACAAATCTGACCTCTGGCCAAGCCTGCTTATAAACCTTTCCTCCAAATTACATATGATTCTCTGCAAGTGATATCTAATTCTCTCAACCAGTTCACTTTTCCAAGTCTCAATGGACCCTAATGCCTCCAGCCCCAACCTTTGACTCCTATTATGGAAGCATTTTCAATGCTAGCCGACTTGGACAGATGCCTGCCTTGCCAAGAAACACAATTTATTTCAATTTTTTGAAAACTTTATCCACATACATCTGTCATTCACTCATTTAAGATTAGACATTCAGGAATCCTTTCTATAATAACCAGTGGTTAATAATGATGATGATGATGATAATAATAATAATGACAGACACCATTTGTTGACAAATTTATGTGAGTTTGGGATTTCACAGAAAACTACATGTTATATCACTTACTCTCAGAAATGTTAAATAATTTGCTCAAGGTTATATGACAATAAAGTAATAAACTGCAAACGGATTTGAATGCAGGTATATGTGATTACAGAGTCCATGCTTGTTGTGTTATATATATGGCCATTCATTCAATTATCAGCACATATTCAATATTAAGTCTGCTATATGCACAGCACTGCCCCTTTTCTTCCTCTGTACAGAACACAGACCCTAATAAGACATGGTAATCTGAATAACTGATGTACTAAGATAGGTACCAGAACTGTGTTTTATTCATTTCTTCCAACATCTAGCATGATCTGATAGACATTCAATAAACGTACACTGAATGAATGAATGAATGGCAGGACCCTAAACATGTCACTCTCCAACCATTCAAGATAAACAGGTATCTGTAGTTCTGGAACCATTCTACAGTTCTAGGAGATAACTGCAGAAGTGAAAATATAACAGAGGAAAAACCCTGGGCCAGTTGTTCTCAACCAGAGGCAGTTGTGTCCCCCAGGGGACATATGGCAGTGTCTGGAGACATTCTGGTTGTCACAACGAGGGAGGGGTGCTACTGGCATCTTGTGGGTAGAGGCCAAGGATGATGCTAAATATCTGTCAATGCACAGGACAGACTTCTATGACAAAAATATCCATCCCAAAATAGTGCTATGATAAAGAAACCCTGCCCTAAACATAAGTTTTTAAAGCTTAGAAGTCATAGGGTTTAGGGTAAAGACCTGGTAAAGTCTTACCAGATCAAAAATGAATAATAATCCAAATATGTAAGTACTTAAAAGTCCTTCCAGTTAACATTTTCTGGCCAACATGTTAAACTTGAATTCTGGTGTCTTAAAGATAACATAAAAGCATAAGTCTGCAAGGGCTAAATGTCTACTACATGTACAAGCTCAGAGGTAGGAGCTAGACTGCACAGGGTCAAGTTGAAGGTTGATTACACAAAGAAGCCATTCAATAAATGGGAAAAAAATAGCCAAAAATAAACAGAACAAATAAAACTTTCATTATGGGCTGGCAGGTCTCAGTTCTTCAGGGGTTTCAGACTTAAGTGTTGCCAAATGATAGTCCAAATTGGGCAGGCTGGGCAAACATAGGCTAAGGAACCCCAGAACCCAGGCTATATAGCTCAATGCCCATGAACAATGTCAGTTTCCCTAAAAAGACACAACTTTACAAGACAAGAGGTGACTAGGAAGAGAAGATTGAAATGGACACTAAAAGGGAAAGAACAAGAAACCTGAGATAATAAGGGTATCGCAAACTTAGAAAAGTCAGGTGAGGAGTAGGCACAGCCAGGAAGGTAAAGGGAGGTAATCAGGTTCTTTTCTCATTTGGGCTTCATGATAAAAATGGAGAAAGTTAAACCAAATTAAAATCAGTGAATAAAACTATTCTAAAGAATTCCTAAATTTTGATGGCTTATTACATGATATTTTGTTGATTTTTTAAAAAATGAATATTCAGTGTAAAAATGCTTTCTTTGGTTCCTAAGATTTAGTGGCTCTATGACCACAGAGCTGAACTCAAGAGTTCTTTTGTTTTGTCATAAAGCATCAGTGACCTCTAAATTCAGAATTTTCTTTCATTTCAAACAACCTATACACTTCAGGACACTTAACGAAAGTCCTAAACCATCTGCCAAATCCCTCAATGGGGAGTGGGGGATGGGAGAGAGGTGACAGTGTGTGTAGGGCAAAACTCTTTCCCCCCAGGAGTCACAGAATTTCAGCTCACTTGCTAATTATCTACCTGAGAGGTTTAGCATCAATCCTTTTTAAGCTCATCTGCTGATGAGTAAGGTTTGGGAGTGCCAATGGTGTATTTATTTAATAAAACACCAATCCTGCCAAATGCTGATCTCCCACGAAGTTCATAAAAGTGGGACAGGTGATTGAATAAATTAATTTCTCAGAGTCACACTGATCTTATTTCAGTTGCATTAAAATGTACTATTAGAGAATCTAAAGGTTGTTTTTGTAATTTTAACTATTGTCTTAAGAAAAAAATGACTTTTTAATGATGTAATATATGGTGATTAACAATAAAAAAATTTCAAAGGAAAAAATGACTTTTAAACATGCATAGAAACATAATAAAAGGCCTATAAGAAGATTTCAGTGAAGAACATCCTATTCTTTTTCCTGAAAAATCAAAACTTATTAAAAGTATATGCAGGCTTCTTTGGGGGAAATGTACTCATTTTCTCTCAGAAAAATAATAAGGCAATCAATCCTACTTTCTTATATTAAAAGTCACTATGTATGGGCGCCTGGGTGGCTTAGTTGTTAAGCGTCTGCCTTTGGCTCAGGTCATGATCCTAGAGTCCTGGGATTGAGCCCCGCATCGAGCCCCGCATCGGGCTCCCTGCTCCGCGGGAGGCCTGCTTTTCCCTCTCCCACTCCCCCTGCTTGTGTTCCCTCTCTCGCTGTGTCTCTCTCTGTCAAATAAAAAAAAAAAAAAAAAAGTCACTACGTAATTTGACATTTTAGCCATCAGCAATCTACTTCACTATAACCTTAAACAAAAATAATTTGTTGATCAAAGAAATCATTCACCCCAACCTGATTACCTTATTGAAGGAAAAACCTGGAAATAATAGTACATTAAAATTGATACTCAGTATATTCACAAGTAGGTGAATATACTGAAATTACCAACACAATGAAAGCTTAATTTGTATCTAGAACAGGAGAAAAGGATACCAGGATTCTCGGCTTCTATTCCCAGTTCTTTCAATGACCTCTCTGTAATATTAGCCTAATCATTAAACCCATCAGTGCCTCATGTTCCTCATCTAAAGGGATGGGAAAGAGAGGAACTCACTAAACTTTGTTTTTCACAACTGTAAAGAGGTGAGGCTTTACAGTAATTATGGCTGAAAGGAAGATTAGATCACCAGAAACAAAGCCTGCTGGAAAATACCATTCAACCAATTTTGACCCACAAAATGGCAATTTCATACAGTTCACTATATTGATGAAACCTGAGAACCTGGCATAATTTATGTAACAAGACGATAGGTTACTTGATTACAAACAGAAGGCAAAACAAAACAATATAGCCCGAAACAAAATTAACATTTTATCAAGTACTTCTTCATCACTTAAAACTCAAATGATATAACATCAAAAGAGTACACGCTGTACAATTTCATTTTTACGTAATTCAAAAACAGGCAAAACTAATTTATGGTATTAGAAATCAGAATAGTGGTTACCACTGAGGGATGGGTTATAACCTAGGAAGAGGCATCAGGGTACTGGGTGCTAGAAATGTTCTAGATCTTCATCTAGGCAGTGGTTACATATGCACAAATTCATTGGGCTACACATTTAAGACTTGTGAACTATACTGAATGTGAGTTATACCTTAACCTTTTAAATGGTATATGAAAAAAATCAGTATCTTTGAAAACATATTTATTGCCCAATTTGTCTGCATTATAACAGATAACCTACTAATTTTAGTATCTCTAAATTCAACAGAACCCAATATAGTTTCCCAATCGTAAGTTAAAAAAAAGAGAGAGAGATGAAAAGGCACTGCTCATGTCACTCAGGAACTGAGAAAGTCAACTTTACTCAGGATTCCCAAAAATGTCACACTCCCAGTTAGGAGCACTTCAGTGTTACTCAACAACTAACAATGATTGTAAGGTGACACTGTCATTTTTTGGTCAGAAACTGTTGTGTTATTATTTTACAGTTAGAAATATGCAGGGTATTCTATAATGCCACTCTAAACACCATCTGAAATAACAGTGAACATGCCAGAAAACAACCTTCCCCATGGCTTTCCACTCAGGATGAAGACAAAACTCCTAACCATGGCATATGAAGTCATTCATGGTCAGGTCACTCTGCCTCTCTGGCCTCCTTGCACCATGTTCCCATTAGTCAGTCCACTCTAGTACCTTCCTTTCATTCTGTTAACCCCTCACACTCACCATTCTCTCTCCAGACACAACACCTCCTCATACACTGTCCCCTATATTTGGAGAGCCCTTCCTCCCCTGTGTTAGATTCTCACTCACCCTTCAGTTCAAGTATCACTTGTCCAGGACAACTTCCCCAGAAGGTTCTATGAAGCACCTGTCACAGTTACAGTTCTACATTGGTTTGTATGATGGCCTACTCCAATACCGAAATTGTCTCTTCATGGCATACACCTGTTTGTTTTTGCTGGCTCACTGCCTTGCTTATGAAGGGATGGCCAGAGATGTAGCCAAGGGAAAATAATATTTGAGAGGAAGGAAAGGATACAGGATTTGAATGCCTGAAGGTTGAAAAAAAGAATCATACCAAAATGGCATAAAAAAAATGAAACAGTGATGTTGAAGACAAGTTTTTTTTTTTTTTTTTTTAAAGATTTATTTATTTATTTGAGAGAGCGAGAATGAGAGAGAGTACATGAGAGGGGGGAGGGTCAGAGGGAGAAGCAGGCTCCTCGCTGAGCAGGGAGCCCGATGCAGGACTCGATCCAGTGACTCCAGGATCATGACCTGAGCCGAAGGCAGTTGCTTTAACCAACTGAGCCACCCAGGCGCCCGAAGACAAGTTTTAATGGCAGGTACCTACCGCTATAACACAAACAGGAGCTATGGGCCTAAGTGTATTCATCCCATATGGCCCAACAGTGGCCTTAAAACGACTTTTGTCTCCAGTTATTTTTAAACATTCACTTTTGTTACAAAGGAGCTTCATTTCCAGATGACTCGTTAATCATTTCTTTTCATTAATCACTTATAGCCCATACAAAATATGGGCAGTAGGAAATCAAAAATTAACATAATCAATACAACTTCTGAAGCTTTTTGTTTCTCACTGAATGAGCTAGAGGTCTTCTATCTTGAAAATTTTATAATCAAGTAAAGTACGATTTTTCCAGGCAAAACTTATTGACAGCTTGCTTGTGATAAAAACTTAAAAAAGAACAACCTGAGTAAACTATCAGATAATATACCACTGATGTTAAATGAGATCTTCATGTTGAACTTTGTGGCTTAAATCAACATATAGTCATTGTTAATAGTGTTCTGCCTTTCCTAGTGGTTGAAAACATGGGCTTTGGAATGGAACTTCCCCAATCTGAATCTTGGCTATTTATTAGTAGCTGTGACCGTGACCAAGTTAACTTCTTTGTGCTGCAGTTTCCTTATCTGTAAATGCGGTAATACTACTACATATTTCATAGTATTGGTGTGAAGATTGAAAATGTTAATGTATATGAAGTGCTAAGAACAGTGCCAGCCTGTAGTAAGCAGCCTGTGTTAACTACCAGTATTGTTAAATTCAATATTATATTCAGCTCCTACAGAAATACTCCATGGGATAATATAAATGGGAAAGTATTTAGAATCATTATATTTGGACTTCCAAGGTAAATTTAACAGTAATTGCATCTACATTCTAGAATCAACATTTTAGTGGCTTTAGTATAATAAACTATGTTTCAAAAGGTATGAGAAGGCAAACAAAAACTTTTCTGGGGCGCCTGGGTGGCTCAGTCGGTTAAGTGACTGCCTTCGGCTCAGGTCATGATCCTGGAGTCCCGGGATCGAGTCCCACATCGGGCTCCCTGCTCGGCGGGGGGTCTGCTTCTCCCTCTGACCCTCCCCCCTCTCATGTGCTCTCTCTCATTCTCTCTCTCAAATAAATAAAGTCTTTAAAAAAAAAAACTTTTCTGATTTGATTCCATTTCAAACAGTATACATAGCATAGACATCTTATTTTACTTCCCCAGTCAGTTCTACCAGGACATTATATTTAGATTATATTAAATTATGACTAATAAGTCAGAAGAAAGATACTATACAGAAAGAGATTTCAGAAATATTTAATTGCTTCACTCCTGACATTAGAAACCACCAGAAGAACATGGGCTTCTTAGGTATCAATGAGTAGTGAGAAGATAGCAAGGGAAAAGGGGGGCATGTTTTCAGCTATACTCTCTTCGTAAGTTTCTAGCTGTCCAAAATGGGTTTTCTAGTATGTTAGTGAAACTGCTTGTCATAGGGTTCTGAAACTACCATTTTAACTAGTCAAGTACTATATAAAAGAAATAAACTATTTTGAAAAATCACCTGATAAATTATTTTTAAAAGGGCTGTAAATTTGATGCTCTAGCTGCCTCAAATAGCTGTTTTAATTCTCACTGAACTATAGAAACTCACTGTGAAATTATCTATCTCAGGGTATGCAACATGCAGAGTTGGAGTGATTTTTGCTGCTGAATTACAGAAATGGAGTTGAGACAAGAGGAGAGAGTCTACTGTTTCATAAAGCACCTCTCTTTAACTTCCACCTCCACCTACTGAAAAGGCGATCCACTTTCTGTTGCTGACTGGTTGGTCAGAATACCCACTTTCTAATACTATTATCATAATCGTATTCTCTCTCTACAATGATTGTTTTGTTTTGGGGAAATTATTTTAATTGATATTATTCTAAATCGTTGTCTAAAAACCTTCACTTTGACGGAATCAAACTATATTCTTCTCCAAGGCAGTGGTTTTTAGATGGGGAGGGGAGTTATTTTGCCCTCTAGGGAACACTTGACAATGTCTGGTGACATTTTGGTCGTCACAACTGTGTAAGTGGGGGGGGGGGGTGCTAATGGCATCTAGTGAGTAGAGGCCAGGAATACTGTTAAACATTCTACAATGCATAGGACAGCCCTCCACAGCAAAGAATTATCCATTAATTCAATGTTAATAGTGCAAAGCTGAGAGACCCTGCTCCAAAACAAAAAGAAGGTATGGTATTTTTGAGTAACTTTTTCAAATTTTTCACTGTAATTTAAGATGAAAAAATAGTGTCCACACCAAATTACATTTTAAAAAACTAATGCTAATTTAAGTTGCTTAGATCTTGTGCTTCCTGTCAACATAAATAATAAGATAAAGTACAGTATCAGCTCCCTATTTTAAAAAACCGAACATGAAGTAAAACACCATAAAATTAAGACCACAAGTATTTCCATTGGAAAGGAATTCAGTTTAGAATTTAAAAACCGATAGGAAAAAAAATGGTCTGTTTGGTACTGCAATGCCTGATACTAAAAAATTCCAGCCTTATTTTGACACTAGCTTCAGGATTAGGCATTTCCCTTTACTCTGTTGTTCTTCATCATGATACTGGACTACCACGGACCCTGTCTTGCAGAAATGTTATACAGAATTGAATGCCGGGATAATGGCCAAGAAAAGCCTTCTAATATGTAGTATAATATTTAAATGGTTAACATCCATACTTTTTTTTAAATAAAAGGCAAGTAAACTTTCTGACCTGGGGTCTGAACACCCATTTCTTCAGGTTGGTATAATACATACTATAGAGTGACCTACTAATAATACAAACTGAAAACGTTCTCACTGACTTAAGAATTAAAGCACAGAGAGAAATAAACACTGTGTAAACACTCATATACAGGAATGTGTTCTTTTGCTTAGCTCTGATTTTTCTGAACATTCTAGAAAATTAGACGCCAGTACCGTATAGCACCTAATACGCTTTGAAATGAAATGTTTAGACAGCACATTTGTAGGGCCAGTAATGTGTATATCATAATTTTCTTCCATAGATTCCATGGCACGTGCTTACTGATAATAAGCGACAAAAGGAAAAGGGACCGTTTTTTCTGTCTTCCCTCCGCGCATTTTCTCTGAGCACCGCCAGCGCGCCGCGCACTGTTCCCGGCGCCAGGTTGAGCGTCCGCGCCCCGCGCGGAACCCACATCCTACCGTTACCTCGGCCTCTGGGCGGTTGGGGCCCCGAGTCGCCCCACACCCGCCGCCAGCGGCCGGCAGGACGCTGGTCGCCCCTGCCAACCCAGGGGCCAGCCTTTCCCGGCACTCACCCGTCACGCGAATGGACTCCAGCATCGTCCCGCCGAGGCCGCGGGCGGCTGGCTGGCTCCACGGGCGCGGGGGGCGAGGGCCAGCGGGAACCGACCGGACCGCCTCTAGCCCAGAAGGCCCGGGCCTCAGAGGCGGGTCGCGGCGGGAGGCTGTTCTCCGCGACCTGGGGCAGGATAAAGCGGGTAAGGACAGACGAAGAACGTTCGGACACGGCTGTGAGAAGCGTTCCCTCCAGCCCGCAGGTGCCGGAAGGTACACACACCGACTCTACAGTAGGCAGCGGCGCTTAGAACCAGCCGCCGTGACGTTGCCGCTCCCCCGTTGCTAGGAAACGCTCCTCGCCGTCCTCGTGCGCTGCGCTTCACAGAGCCTGCGCGCCGCTTGGGGCGCTAGCGCTCCGGCGGCTACACTCGAAAGGACGCGAGAGAAGGGAGGGAAACTACAACTCCCGGCGTACACAGCGTAGGCCCGTGTCTCCGGGGTCTGTGTGGGCTGGGCCCAGGGAGAGGCTTGGGTCTCCGGCCACTGGTATACACGCATCTTGTCTGATAATTCCTATAGACGTTTGTGCCTTGTTCAAGACGGCTGAACACTGCGGGAACTTCACAAGAGAGGGGCGGTGTGACATAACCGCTCCAGCTGTGAATTGCAAAGCCAATCTTCTCCGCCCTTAAGTTAAAAGGTTAGGAAAAGCTAAAACAACTTTAGGTTGAAAGGTGTTAATGAGCATCTTTATTATTTGAGGAAGCTCAAATACATTTATCAGTTGAGTGTTCCAGCTTAATATCTTTAATAAAATACAAATTTTATTTTTTTTTTTAAGATTTTATTTATTTATTTGGGAGAGAGAGAGAGCACAGAGGGAGAATGAGAGGGAGCCCCACGCAGGCTTGATCCCAGCAGTCTGGGATCGTGACCTGAGCGGAAGGCAAGCGCTTGACCGACTGAGCCACGCAGGCGCCCTTAAAATACACATTTTAATTTATGATTGTGCAATTGATACCGCTGGATGTTGTCTTCAGCTTGTTATTCCGTGGAAAATGTAGAGACATTCAACATTTTTTGAGAGCCTGATGTGTGCAAGGTTCTGAGACAGGCCTGGAGGAAATAAGGTAAGAACTAAGTCTCCCCAAGCTTACAGTTTAGAATGAGCTCATAAGATAGTGTTGTCACTGTCAAATTTCTGAGCCACATTTTCTCTTTACCCTTCCTCAAGATTGAGACAGGACACAGAAATCATTGAAATATGTTTTAAAAACTCAGGAACAAAAGTTATGTTAACATCATAATCTAGGAATGACAGAAAATGTGTGAGAATTTGTAACTTTTTGATCAGTTAGGAGGGAACAGTGGAAATTTAACTATCACAAATAGTAGAAAACCTTACATCGTATTCTGTCTGAAAATCCTGTGAATACTATCTTCAAAATATATCCAGAATCCAGCCACTTCTCACTATCACCACTGCCACCATCCTGTTTCAAGCCACCATCTCTTGTTGGCTTATAGCTATAGCCTAAATGATCTCCATATTTCCACCCTTGCCCTCTTCACTTTCTTCTCAAAATTCAGTCGCCAGTGTGATCCTGTTAAAAAGTCAGATGTCACTCTTCTGTGCAGAACACTTCAATGGCTTCCATTCTTACCTATGAGGTCCTTTATGACCTAGCCTTCTGTCATCCCTTTGATCTCATTTACCCCCACTCTCTGCCTTGGTCTCTTCCAGACACATTGGCCTCCTTGATATTTCTCAACTATGCCAAGCACTGGTTCACTTCAAGGCCTTTGTAAGTTGGGATTTCCCCTGCCTGGAATGCTCTTCCCCGCAGACAGCCAAAGGATAGCTCCTTCACCTCTTTCAGGATTTAATCCAAATGTCACTTCTCAGTGAGGCCTTTCCTGGCCACTCAATTTAAAATTCTACTTCTTTCTCAGATTTCCTACCCTACTTCTCTGTTTCATTTTTTCCCCCTTAGTACTGAACACTAATTTATCAAATATTTTACTGATTTGTCTCCATCCTTAGAATAAAATCTCCATAACTGAAGTGATTTTTGCTTGTTCACTGCTATATTCCCAACATCTAGAATAGAGCCTGGCACACAGTAGGTACTCAATAAACATTTGTAAATTAATGAATAAGTAGACAGTAGAAAGTATGCATTTTCAATGATAACTCAAAGAAAATAGAATGATATAAAATGCCCATGTAAAGAAGGAATCTTCAGGTTAGAGCACTTGATGGAGTTTTGAGCAATGAATCCTTGCATTCATGAGGGCAGTTATTCCTGCAACATATGTCCTAAGGAAAATAGAAGGCTATAAATGAACCTTACATACCTATCTTCCTTACGTAACTAAAACTCTGAAATTTGCTTTCCAAGTTTGCTATAAAAATGCATCTATTACCACTGCAAATTTCTAGTTTTTAAAGTCACTGCAATTTAAGAATTATTTTTCAAAGAAAAAAAAAAAGACTCCTAAAAGATGTTTCCAAGTCATATATTGAGCATTTATGTAAAGGATTTACTCAGAATGCTTTTACTAACGCATACTTAATCATATTGTCCATTTTAATTATATTCTGAAGAAATCAAAATGTATTTATTTACATATAAGGCACTGGGCTTAGTGCTTTTAGAGTACATTATAAAACATGATATTTATCCCCAAGAAACTTATTGACTAGTTAGGAAAGGGTTTATACACACATACACACACACCAAAGTTAGAAAAGGATGTGCCCTAAAGATATACCTCCCTCTTCGACATTTCATTAAACTTAAGAATTCCAAAAATAAACAATTTGATGCCCCTGTAGTTAGATGCACCTAGAACATTATTTCATTATTTGCTTTTAAAATTATGTTTTGGTCACCCTACCAATATTTCTTTGTGGATAATTCTGATTTCTAAATAATCCTTAGTGATAAGTGTTATTAAAGGTGCATATCAATTTAATCAAAGCATTTTGAAAAGATATTCTTTGTGTACTATTAGGCATTGAAGTACTCTTGCTAACAAATTTGTGAATACAAAGAGTTTATCTAATTTCTTACAAAACTAGTACTGTTATCAGCTCCTTTTACCATTCCTGCCTATGCAATTATTCATCCTCATCAAGCTTTGTACATCTGCTTTGTTAATTATTGATTTGTGCTATGCCTGCTTAGTATTTCCATTGGGTACAGCATCTGCAGCTGTCCACTTGGCTGCTTTTGAGTCAGCATTGTTTTTACATATCCGCCAGAACAATGAACAATTCCATCTTTCTGAGAAACTTTTCTTTATATCCGTTTCTATATAAACCATTAATATTGAGACAAAAGAATTGATGTGATTATCAATTACTAGTCCATTTTCAAAGCACTGTTGTAAAATAAAGCTAAAAATTTATTAAAATTTATAAAAACTGCCTTTAATGATTTATATTTATCTTTAAGGATGCACCCTCCCTAAACTTGGGTTTTCTTTTCTTTTTTTTTTTTTTTTAAAGATTTTACTTATTCATTTGAGAGAGAATGAGATAGAGAGAGCATGAGAGGGGGGAGGATCAGAGGGAGAAGCAGACTCCCTGCCAAGCAGGGAGCCCGATGTGGGACTCGATCCCAGGACTCCAGGATCATGACCTGAGCGAAGGCATTCGCTTAACCAACTGAGCCACCCAGGCGCCCTAAACTTAGGTTTTCCAACAGTAGCTAAGGATGCCATTGTAGTTATCCTACTATAACATTATATTTCATTTTACTTTTATGGTCATTTTTACATACACTACCAACATTATATTGTGGATCATTTTGATTACTGAATATCTTTAATGATGACTTCCATTCAATTTTAGATATGAAAAACAGAAAAATAGGAATTTTAATAGAAATTCTTTTTTGTGTGGTGGGATTTTTATGTTATGGAAAAAGAGCTTATATTTCTCTTATTTTATCAGTAACTTTTACATAGTTTACATAGTAAACTATTCATAATCCATGGAGTTTCTGAAAAAAAGTCAAAACATCTCTGTAATAAGAGGGGATCATTTTTTTGTTTTAGAAAACAGATCAACAACCTCCTTTTTAAAGACTTAAACACATTTATTTGATCATTTACTTCGAATGAGGGAGTTGTGTAGTAAAGACTAAGAAAAAGGAAGAGAGAGATGGGGAAGACTGGAGAAGGCTGCTAATTAATAAGTATTGCTACTGCTAGTGGAAAGACAAATAATTACAATATTTCACCTTCTATAGAAAAGGTTCATATTGTTGAGGGCCGATCAAGTATACATTATGCTTGAAACTGAGAAAAAGTTTAATTTCTTAAGAAGTTATCTCAGTAACTAAAAGGAATTAGAACATTAAAATAATATTCACTTAAATTTTAGATAAGAATTTAAAAGAATGGGGGGAGGAGAAGGTTCGAGAAAATACTTTTGACTTTCCTTCCTGTTTATTGGAAGCCACTTATAACATTCTAGGTCATTGAAAATATATGAGTTGAGGAAAATTAATCTGCAGCAGTCTGCCATTATAAAAGAACAGAGCAACTCTACTTGAACACCCCATTCTAACAAACATTAACAGAAGCCTCAGGGCAAGCTGTAAACAATGTTCCTTGACTCATAAAAGAAAAAAAAATCCAAGGAATAGTTGGTTTCTGTGGCTTTTGAAAAAAATTTTGAGTGACATTTGAATGCCTTCAGGATGTCTGTATTGAAAGAATGGAATGTTTTCAGTATGTCTTTTTCAGGAGAATGAAAAGCATTAAGTGGGAGACAAATCAAAGAATGCTTTGTGAAATCTCCTCTGCCTTTTCACCTCAATGAAAATAGAACACAAAAATCCTGAGAAACACTGATTTTTTTGATAGGATGTTTTGTTGTAAATGATTGGGGGAGGAAGTTTATTTTTTAATCAGACAAAAAAAAATTGCCTGTCTTAATTTTATTTTGAAAAAAACAAGATGTGCATTAGTTCACTCCTTCCACAGATTTGTTAAGTGCCTCCTATATACAAGGCAAAAAGATGAAGAAGATATGATACCTACCCTCAGAGAACTTACTGATAGTGCATATACACATATGTAAACATGGTGTACACACATCAACCAGTCTTTGAGCACATACATCAAGGATGCTGTGGTGAGAGTCCCAGTTCTCTTAGAACATATGTTAAGTGGGAGAAACAAACAAGGATCAAGTTAACCAAAGTATAATTACCGATAGGTACTATGAAGTACAGTAAATCAGGGAAGTATGCTAGATGGTGACTTGTCCTAGACGGGGTCTGAAAAGGCCTCTTTGACAAAGAGACTTTTGAGCTGAGATCTGAAGGATAAGAGTCAGCCATAGTAAATTTGGCTGGGTGGGGGGTGGGGGGTTGGG